CTTGAGGCCAACCTAGGCTAAACAGTGACTTCTAGGTCAGTCTGGGCTGTAGAATGTGATCTTCAAACAAAACAAAAAATAATCAGCCCCAACTTTGCTTCATACTGATTTATCCTGAATGTTTTTTTTTGTTTCGTTTTTTTGGTTTTTTTTTTTTTTGCTCTGTTGTCAAGAATCTGGGTAGACAAGCTTCTGAAGAGATGTCCTTGGGCTGCTCTCTGAGACTGCATACTTATATCACTGCCATATAAGTGACAGTTTTTACAAAAACTCTTATTATAAAACAATAGAAAGAATTGGTCAAATTCACATAATCATAAAATACTGAGTCAATACATAGGCATTTCATCCAAGTTGGTGGTCAGCCAGCAATTGGCTCCATGAAGAAAAAAACACAAAACTGTATTTGTCCTTACTTTGTTGCAAAAGGAATGAATGAGACATGAAGCATTGGGTGACTTCGAAGTCATAATGAACAGGAAAGCATTCTAGATCTGCAACTGAAGACCCTGAATGTGACGCCTAGCTCAAGCCCATTTTAATTTGGACAGATAATTAGCATCCCAGCACTTGATATTCTCATCTACAGGTCCCAATGTGTGAGATTCTTTTTCCTCTCCCTGTCCAACCCCTCCCATGTGTGTGTGTGTGTGTGTGTGTGTGTGTGAGAGAGAGAGAGAGAGAGAGAGAGAGAGAGAGATTGTGTGTGTTCACGAGTGCATGCTTTGCTTTTCAAGGCAGAGTCTTACTATGTTAACCCATGCTGACCTCTAACTCAAGGCAATTCTCCTGCCTTAGCCTCCTAGATGCTAGAATTATGTCCCAGCTATCAACATGCCTCCATTTTGCCCCCAGCCCAAAATCTGAAATTCTATATGGCTCAAAATTTGATATAACACAGTGGAACCAAGGCTGTTATCAGTCTTCTTTCATAAACCAGGTGTATTTCCACAACGGATTATGAAGTTCAAGCCTATGTCATTTGTTTGTGTTTTCTGGGTCATTCAGTAAGAATCTCAGCCAGGAAGGAATCTTTAAATCCATGGCTTACCTTTATCCATGGGAATGGCTGATACCTTCTAAAGCTCTTGGATTATCACCCAAAACTTGATAAGGACATTTTCCACTTATTTTAAATGAATTTTTGGTGACCCTAAGAATAAAATATAATGTGTACACTTTCAATGCTAATTTATTATTAACACAGAGAATGAAAGTAGGCCTTTTATCTAGTTTAGCTTAGCAATTGCCAGCTAAATGAAATTAAGCTGATTTAGTCAAGGTTTTAAAACATGAGGGTGGAATCCAGAGAATTTGGCGAAGAAGCATGGGACCTGGCTTGATGGAGATGCTGCTCCTACAGTGTGTTGAGCTGTCGCTAGTGAGTGTCACTACCAAGGGGCTACAAAGGAGCTACTCGAAGTTTGTCTTCTGAGGCTGGACTTTGAATATTGGATCGTGACATACAAATTTCATGTGAGGTAAAGGGGAGGGGAGTCTGATGTAGAAAAATGAAAGAGAAGAGGAGGATGCTATTATATCAAAAAGTTTAGATTAGGAATTTAAGAATATCCGACTTGAATCTAGGGTGGTAATACACGATTTTAATCTCAGCAATTGGGAGGTGGAGGAAGGATGCTCAAGAGGTCAAGGCCAGCCTTAGCTATATAATGAGTCTGAGGCTAGCCTGGGCTTGACCCTGTCTCAACAACAACAAAACCAGATTAGCTTTTAGACAAAAAAGATATAAATTTTGGTTCTGCTAATTTTTAGGTATGTGACCTTGGGTCGATTGTTTAATCTCTAAGTCACTTCGATAATTTTTCTTACTTCATTAGGTTGTGATGAGGATTAATGAGATAATTTACGGAAAGCACTTGATCCATGAGGCCTGGAACATGGTCAGTACTTGTAAATGGATACTGGTGGGCAACCACGAAAGCTTATTAACTACATTCTCTTTTGGTACCTCATTGGGTTCCCTCCGTAATGTCTCAGAGGCTACAGATATAGAAAGCACTCTTTTGTAATAAAAATTTGGGTCCCGGCTTCATTCGTTTTTAGTGATCCCTAAAAAACCATCAAGCCCTGTTCACGGTTCAATGTGGGCACTGGACAAAGGTTTACTTTATAAGCCTGTTTAGCTGGATTAAAACTAAAATATGCAGAAATGTGAGGCACTTCAACAATAGAACATAGGGAAATGGATTATTCTTGGCTAAAAACAAAGACTTAATAGAATATGAGTTTATAAGAAAAGTCCATAGAAAAGGTCCAGAAAGTATCAACACCAAGATGACAACAGTTATTTCTAGGGAGGAAGAGCAGGGGAAAGGTGTAAAAAACCTCTGTACTGTCTTTATAGTCCACACATTCACTCTCCTATCGCCTGTGTAATTAAAGATCAACAAAAAGACCAGACATAGTGGGATATGCCCGTGATCCCAGAACAAGAGTCCGAAGCAGGAAGATCAGGAATTCAAGGTCATCCTCTGTTATATAGCAAGTTGGAGGCTGGTCTGGGTTAGAAGAGACCCTTTCTCAAATCATGCAAATGAATAGAAAAAACAAAACCAAGAGAGGTACAAGCAAGGTCACAGTACAAACTGCAATGAACATTTAGACTACAGAATAAACCAGATGTGTAATAAAGCAAAGTAGACAAGAGTCTAGAAATTTACCCCTGAGGTTGTCAGTGACTTGATTCAAAGTCACATTCTACTTAGCTGGTTGTCCTTGAGGACTGAGGAGAGCAGAGGGGAAGGGAGATTTCTGACCCTCTCTCCAGGCTCAGACAAGAAGAACAACAAAGCTGTCCAATGGTTATCTTGGTGTAAATTGCTTTCTCTGTAAGTACTCAGAGAAGACATCTGTATCCTGTCTTATTCTTTGCAAAATCCAATGTCTGCAGAAGCACTAGCTGAAGTGTGTTGGTAAATTATGCTTTTAAGCAAAATGCAACCAGATGGCAAACTAGTATTTCTAGTAGTACATTTTGATGGCAAAGAAAATAAGAGATAATTACAAAATGAATCTACGAAACAGATACTTGTTTGATTAAGAATATGTAGCTGAAAGAGCGTTAAACTATCCCAGGGCTGAAAGTGTAGTTCAGTGGGATATAGCTTGCAAGCTTGAGGCCCAGTATTGCGTAAAATATAAATAAAGCCAGGTGTGGTGGCACACACCTTTAATCCCAGCACTCGGGAGGCAGAGGCAGGTGGATGTCTGTGAGTTCAAGGCCAGCCTAGTCTACATAGTGAGTTCCAGGACAGCTGGGGCTACAGGGACACCCTGTCTCAAAAAGACCAAAAAAAAAAAAAAAAAAAAAAAAAAAAAAAAAAAAGAAAGAAAAAAAAAACATAAATAAAACCAAATACCTCCAACACCACCAAATAAGTTAATTAAGATAGTTATGAAGCATATGCCTATAGTGTCTCAGGACTCAAGAGCCTGAGGCAATAGGATCCCTGGAGTTCAGGTGTTCAAGACCAGCCTGGTCAATGTAGCTAGACTCCAGCTCATAAAAAACAACAAAATTTACCTATTTAATTAGAAGGGAGTAGAGAATCTAAGTTCTGAATAAAAGGGCCCTTCCCTTGCAAAGAAATATTTTGGCTATAGGAGAATCCAAGTAGCATTGGGATCTCTGTGAAGTTGCAGACTTGTTTTCATTCAGTTTGCAGACTCTACCAAGGAGAGACCTCACCTGCTACTCCAGCTCCAGGAGTTAGTTTTGATTTCCTTTCAACACACACCCTTTGGCCATGGACTTTGGGGGAGATTTGCTCTGTGCTGAAGACCTTAACTAGGGTGTGTGGACAACTCTACAAGTCCTGTGGCTGACATAACATGATGTCTATTTGTAGCCCTAGCTTTCCAGCTTGCCCCCCTGGTGCAGGGAGGCAGTCCAGACCAGTCTGTAATTCATTATATTCTGCTAGTGAGTTAACTGAAGCTGCCGTTTCAGGCATGGCACAGAAAAGACCTGAATGAAAGGATGAATGGAAAGAGCCATTTTGCTAGAACTGCCCTGGGGTATTAAATAGGATGGGGCAGCTGGGGGCTGGAGGAGGCTACTGTTGCTTAAGAAATATTCTCCATAAGATTGTTAGTCATCAGTCCTCTAGCAATCATCCATTTTTCAACCTCCTTCCTACGTATAAATTTGCAGAATTATAGACCTCCAGTGTGGCCACTGTAATGAATTGGGTTTATCCGTGAAACACAGAAAACCTCTGTAACATTACTAATACTATGAATGGAAGAACAGGGAATTTAAATAAATGCACACAGCAGCATAGCCCTGAATTAATTCAAATACAAGCCACCTCCTGTTTTCTTTGGGGGGCGGGGTACATGTATTAAGCAAAATTGAGGCCAACTTGAAATAGAGGATTTGAAATGTTGGATTCCATCATTTATGTAAAAAGGTCACTTTGGTCCTTGGCTATTTATACCACAGATAGAGACACAGCAAATTATTGCTTGAGTGGATTTGAGGAGCCGAAGCTGCTTCTGACTAACGAAGATGATAACGCAGCAGCCCTTGAGACTAAATGAATGAAAGGTGTGGAAAAGTTGAAGCCTTGGAAGATGAGAGAGGGAACTACTTAATTAGCCCAGACTAAATTGCTAGCCCTAACTGCACTCAGGCCAGTTCTCTTTGAAACTGCCTTATAATCTTGGCATGGCTTTGACTGAGAAAGCTTCATTCTTATCACAAACCCATTTGAAGGCATCTCAGCCCAGCCCCCTCTCACTCAACCCCCTCTCATCCCAACGCAACTCTTCTGAGCCCCCTCCTCTCCATCACTGCCCTCTCACCCCCCACGAACAAATCTGAATCAAGGCAGTGCCAGTTCTCACCTTGACCATTGGCACTAGACGCACGGCTTTCACGAGGGGCTAAGTAACAAAACCCCAGGATTACCCCAGGCAAGCATCCAAAAGCGGTTAAGAGAAGCACAGAAAACAAAAGAAACACAACCTGTCCTTACCCGCTTCTTAAAAAATTGGAAGGCTGAGCATTTCTTGACTGGGAATCCATTCATGTCTTTGTTTACCATCTTCCACAGTGCGGACTTCACAGTTATAGATCCAGGGTGGCACCCGCCTGGTTACTGCATCTGTTTCCTGGTTCCCCTCCTGGAGACGGTGAATGAAGACAGAGCGGGATGGAGAGGCTAGCGGGGCTCAGTTCACTCGCACATTCTGCTGCGCCAGCTACTGCAGCAACTCTCCCCACTTTCAGTTGCCACTGGCAGTAGCTTTTCTCTTTCCATCATTGCTCCGAAACATAAGCATCACCGCAACTGGACTCCAGGGGCCCGGATGGCGGGATACAGCAAATCTCCTGGGAGATGCTCTGGCTGCTGCTTGGGCGGGAGCAGGGTACGGTCCCCGCCCCCAACTACCTAGCTGCTCCACCGCGGGTGTGGTGAGCTAGAGGCTCTGCTCCAGGTGATGCGCTTCAGGAGGCTGCTCCAGAGGAGAGCTGGTTTTGATTGTGTAAGTTCCAGTGGGAGCTGTAGTTAAGCAGCTGGGGGTAAGGAGTAAGGAAGAGCCGAAGCTGGAGGAGGGAGGGAGGGAGAGCCTCTCCAGAAAGGCAAACGGAGCGAGCAAGCGAGGCTGGAAGAAGCAATGATGCATGCGTATGTGAGAAACGGGATGGACAGAAGGCACAAAGCCCAGGACACACGGGCGAGCAGTCGCGTGCCCTTGAAAGCGCCACTTGGATAGGTTTTTCTTTCCTAAGACCACGTCAGTTTCTTGTAAAATGCAGACGGTGCATAACATATGCTCAATGAAGTTATTTTGCCACCAGTTCCAGTACAAGAGCATCTCAAAGAAATGTAATCAAGCATATTCCTGACCTGTGCAAACCTTGAGAAACATGAAACAAAGTGCATGTATAGGTGTTACAATGGACGGCGTCCTACTGTGTAGGGTCCTTTCCGCATCTTCCCTTTCGCTGTCACAATGTAGGGACAACGGGGAAGATCCTTTTTTTTACAAAAGACCAAGTAGCTTTATTAAAAAGTCTTACTGGGTTCATTTAACGCAAAGGAAGTTGTGATAAATAAGAGAGGTATTTTCACTCCCTAAATTTATCCCTAAACCCCTACACATTTTATCCTCTGCATGGTAAATTTATTTAACAAAAACATTTACTATGTGTGGCTCATTTCCCACTTTTATTCTTGGATGTTGATATTTTATGAGAATTCTTCCCAAAATAATATTTTTTAGCAAAATGGAGAAAGCAAAGAAAACCAACTTGGCCTGGGCCACGTGGTGGCTTCCCTGTCACTGTGTGGTTTTGTGCCGGTCACCTGACCTCACTGTGTCCTTCAGATGCTGTCTCATCCATGAAATGGACACCTCTCATTCACTCATTCAGTTAGTCATTTGCTTGTTTGCTGTATCATTCCATTAAAATCCAAATGTTGCAAGTGTACCTTTGCATAACCACCAAAAGGACTCTCATTAATAATAAAAGACACTGTGCCAATCTGATGCATCTAATAGACACATTGTTAGTAAAACACATCTTAGGGCTGGGGAGGTAGCTCAGCTGATAGAAGAGTGCTTGTCTAGCATGCACAAGGCCCTGGGTCTTTGATCTCCAGCACCGCATAAACCAGACACATGCTTGTAATCTGAGCCCTTGGGAGGTAGAGGAAAGAGAACCAGAAATTCAAGGTCATTCTCAGGGAGTTTGAGGCCAGGCTGGGATTCATGAGATTGTGACTCAAAACCAAAACCAAACCAAACCAAAAAACCCACATCTATCATTGTTAAACCATTTGTATGACAGTCAATAAAAAGAAGGAAAATATAGAGGTTAAATGGAAAAGAGGTACATGAGTTTCATTAGAGTAGGATTCTCTACCTTTGGGCCAGAGTTTGGGGAATAACAGTGAAATCTTATTTTCTAAATGCCTTAAAGGTTCCAAAAAGAAAATGCAGCAGAACAAAATGATGGCCAGAAAACCGAGAGAAAGCAAGTGATTCATGTTAGAGATAGACATTAAATTGTCCCAGACACAAGGCTACATTATGTAATCTACAACACTGATAGGTTTTGAGGTTCTTCTAAAGAGGTCATTAAAAATATGAAAGCTCAAAGGGAATTATTTTGAGATGATAGAAATATTCTCCATCATGATTGTGGTGATGGTCATAAGAATACACATTTGTCAAAACTAACTAAACTTCATATATGAAAAGGGGAAATTTTGCTTCACATAGTAAATTATACCTCCATGGATCTCATTATAAAACAATGGTGTTGTCTCAGGGCTGTAGAGATGGCAAGTATTTTAACAGACATTCATGGAATTTGAGTGATATATAGGAGAACCTTTTGCAACAGTCTGGGGGGAAGGAGATACTGGAGCCCTAGCTTTGATTTCTATTATTCTACCATGCATACTAGTCTTAAAAATATTTTGCTATTTTTATTTTATGTGTATGAGTGTATTGCCTGCATGTGTGTAAGTGCACCCATGTCATGCAATGCCCAGAGGTCAGAAGAAGTCATTGGATTCCCTGGAACTGGAGTTACAGATGGCTGTTGCTGCCATGTGGGTGCTGGGAACCAAACCTGGGTTCTCTGTGAGAGCAGTCAGTGCTCTTAACCACTGAGCCCTCTCTCTAGCCCTGAATAGTTGTTCTAGGTAGACTGTATGTTTATTTGGGAGTGAAGGGGGATGGCTAATAGATACTACAGGGGAGGAGGTGATGACAAAGCTAGCTGCTATCTCTCTCATACCCCAAATGCCACCTCCAGACACTGTCATTGTAACCTAATCTATGCTGGACCTTATGAAAGCTTCTAAGAATGTAAAGATGCATGGTTTTGTGTCACCGAGGAACAATCAACCTAGTGTAGAAATGCACTTGTGTGAATGAATGTGGTATATAAGCATTAGGCCCATGTTGCCTTGGAGGTGGGTAAGGTGGAGAAAGAAAAGTAAGAGAGGCCTGGGAAATGTTCCTCAAAGGAATGATATTAGTGTGCAGCCTGGGAGAGTAAGAAGAGCTAGATGAAAGAAGAGAGGCCCAGAGCCAGGGCTCAGAACAGATAGAGAGACTCATTTGGAACTATAGTTTGGTCAGTGCAATAAAAGTGAAGTGTTTTAACAGCACTGTTGGCTATCCTGGGGAAACAAGGTCTCTTTCCTCTCACTCTTACCTCTGTTTTCATAAACTGCTTATAAGTAGGTCCATCAAAACTTCTATTTACTAAACATCTCCCCTGACAACCCCAATTTTAGTACTTTACAAAGAAGTGCATGATGTTTCTTTCTTTCTTTACTTATTTTTTCTTGTGGTAGTGGAAATTGGATGTTATGCCTAATGATGTTAGCCGTTTTACTATTAAATCATATTTCCAACCCCCTTCTTTCTTTCTTTTTTTTTGAAACAGTGTCTCAGGAAGCTGTCCAGACTGTCCTTGAATTTGCTCTATAGCCCAGACAGGCCTTGAATTTAAGATCTTCCTGCCTCAGCTTTCCCAATGACAGGGACTATAGGACTGTGCTACCGGGCTTGGCTATTTTTCTTTATTACTCATTTTTATTTATGTGTATATATGTGCATATGCCATGTGTGTGTGTGAGTGCTTGAGGAGGCCAGAAGAGGATGTTGAATCCACTGGAGTTGGAGTTACAGGTGGTTATAAGCATCCTGATGTGAGTCCTAGGAACTGAACTCAGGTCCTCTGGAAGAGCAGTAAGTTCTCTTAACTGCTGAGCCATCTCTCCTGCCCTTTTTTCCTTTCTGTAAATAGAATGAATGTAGATTTATTAAGGATGAGTGACAAGAACTCCCAAGAGTGGGAGAGAGTCCAAGGGAGGAATACCCATGGCAGTTTCTTATAGTAAGAGGAAAATAACCTCTGAGTTCACTGAATTAATGAATTTACTTCCCTTTTTTATCACAAAATACACTGCTCATTTTTTGTATCCTTAACACGCAGTGCAAGTGCCTGGGCCATGCTAGGTTCTGTTTTCAAATGAATTTAATAAAAGCCAAGTAAAGCTGACATTCTATGATCCTGGCTCTGGACCATTTGCAAGAACCATTACATTAACTCCAATCACATTCTATGTGCTGAGTTCTGGTGAAAGATAATGGTCCTCAGTTCTCATCACATCTCCTGTAAGCTTTGATGACTGTTTCCTTTCTTTTCAAATTGACCATCCTAATATTAAAAAGAATACCTGAACTTCTATTTGCTCTCTCTGTCTCTGTCTTTCTCTCTCTCTCTCTCTCTCTCTCTCTCTCTCTCTCTCTCTCTCTGATGCACATGTGTGCACACATAGGTAAGGTCAGAAGTAGACATTAGGCATTTTCCACCTTACTTTTAAAATATTTTAAAATTATTATTTGATAATTTCATATATATACACAATATATCTTGATTATTCCGATCCCCAATAGCCAATTGCCATCCTCCTCCTCTCCCAGGACCTCCAAACATATATCCCTCCCCCCTTCATGTCTCTCCATCTTATTTTTTACTTTTTGGAGACAGGGTATCATTACGTAGCCCTTGCTGGCCAGGAACTCGCTATGCTGCCAGGCTAGCGTGAATTCACAGAGTTCCACCTACCTCTGCATCCTGCCTGCTGGGTTTCAAGGAATACCCCAACTTGCTTGGCTTTTTTTCTTTTCTTTTCTTTTTTTGGCAGGGTCTCTTACTGCATCTAGTGCAGGTCTCTCACTGAATCTAGTGCTCAGCAGTTGGCTAGACTGGTAGGCCGTTAAGTCCCCTAGAGTTCTCCTGTCTCTGACTCCGGAGTCCTGGGATTACTGACACTTAATGCTGTGCCTGGCTTTTTAGATGGGTACTGGGGTTCCAAACTTGGGTCCTCATGCTTTCATGGTGGGCACTTTACTGACTCCAGTCTCTATTAGCTTTCTTATAGTGTATCCATTCTTCCTCCTAACAGTATTGTTTAAACTACAGCACAAAGAATAAAGTAAGGAGCTAGGCAGGATCGATGACCACTATGTACCTCAAGTGGTATGAATAATGTGATGATCTTCCCTCCTCTCACTGAGCCTATCTTCTCGTCTGTAAAATCATCATCACTAAATGCTTCTCCACCCTTCTTACAAGGTGCCAGTCCCACGTTATTATATGTGAAAGGGCTTTGTCCCTATTTGCAAAATTCTCAATAAATAAATCTATATTTTCGGTTTTACTCAAGCAAGAGACAAATACTGATAGAAAATGTTTTAGAAACTCTTCATAGATTTAGAATGTTTTCATGGGCTATACTTGAGTTTTGAGTGGAACGTGATTTTCTTATGGCCCCCAGAAAACACAATAAAAAAGAAAATATCTGTCGAGTGACAAATGTTCCCAAGAAGAAAGGAATACAAACAGATCATGTCATGAGAAATAGTTCACATTCCTCTTTGGCCTGGGTAACTTGATTATATGCTTAAACTCCAGTCCCGATGCTTGTAATCAGGAATTAGAAAACCCCATTGGACATTATGGGTCTGTTTTTGTACATTCCAAAGACTCCTCTTACTATATATTTATTCTTAAATTGTAATCTTTTTATTTCATCAAATTGGATTTGCTTGTTTTTTTTTTTAACTTTCATTTATTTATTATATGTGTGTGTGTGCATGGG